GCCTCCTGTGTGTTGGATTTTGAGAAAATGATTCAACCCAGACTTTTTAAGTTTCCATTGCAAGTCATCTCTTTTTGAAGACTGACGTGTTATCATATCATCATTCCAGGTGCCTTACAGTCAAAGCATAAATACCGTTACATTAGTTGTCGCACTTAGTTGCCATGATCAGAAGAATTTGTTAGTTGCCATGATCAGAAGAATTTGAACGGTTTCGTCAGAGAATACGACTTTTTCAACTTGGTGCCATTGCCAATGACGTAACGTCAGGGATTCAGTTCAGTTCCTTTTCAAAGACATTGACTTTCATCCATCATGTCCCAGCGATGTTATAAGTTCGTGAATGATATAGATGTCCGATCAAAAGTCCTAGAGCTTTTGTATTGTGTAAATGATTGGTGCGTCAATTAGGGCAGTACATGCCAACCCTTCTTCAAAGACCTAGTGTCATCACTGCTAGTCTGTTGTCTATTTACATAATAAAGACTAGTTGTTCCGTTGCGTGGATGTTATGTATTTCCAGCAAAATTTAAAACACATTAAGTTTGAGACACTATAGGGGCGGTGGGGTAGCCTAATGGTTAAAGCGTTGGCTCATCACGCCGAAGACCCGGTTTGAATCCCCACATGGGTACAATGTGTGAAGCCCATTTCTGGTGTCCCCTGCCGTGATGTTGCTGGAATATTGCTAAAAGCGGCGTAAAACCAAACTCACTCAGTCAGTGAGACACTATAAGTGGCCCATGTCCAACTTTAATATTGTGAAGAGTGTTAACCAAACCTGCAATTTTGGCAAACAATGTACAATTTGTGTTGGCGTGTAGTAAACATTGTTTAAAACTGAATCAGACTGATTCCCCGAGTGTCATCACCCTCTAAGATGCAGCTATATCACTGAACACGGGTGAAGTTGTCCTTGTGTTCGTTCCTTTGGGATAATGTGAAATCAACTGGAACCTAGTTCTCTTGTCCTTTCAGGAAGTTATGGTGGCACTTTTGCAGATGAAGATCCTAAGTGGTTTAGTCAAGACACTCACTATGAACAGCAAAATCTTCTAGATAAGAGAGGTGTTAATATCCCGACAGACTGACCCCTCAGCCTCGAGGAACTACCCTTGTGCCCAGTGTGACAAGGTTTTCTCCAGCTATGGGGCCCGATGGCATCATATTGCTGCTATTCATAGGAAGGTTACTTATCATTGTGAATGTGGGAAGGTGTATAGCTACAGGCAGAGCTGGCTGCATCATAAACACAACTGTTACCTGCACAAATCCAACCAGAGCCATGGTGGGGAAGCCTAGTGGTTAAAGCGTTGGCTCGTCACGCCGAATACCTGGGTTTGATTCCCCACATTGGTACAATGTGTGAAGCCCATTTCTGGTGTTCCCCGCCGTGATCTTACTGGAATATTGCTAAAAGCGGCGTAAAACTAAACTCAGTCACTTCCAATCAGGAGAACACCACAATTTGAGAAATCTGTGTTGTAAAATATGAACACATGCTAATGATATAGTAAATATTGTACAGTGTTCTCTGCTTTTTTGGACATGGAAAGAGTTTTGTTGGCTATATTTTTGCACGTGACTTGAAATTTTATCATCTGCTGGGTTTTTGTTGACTTGTAAATTTTATTTACAAATGACTGTACTTGGTATTGTTTTGTCACAACGTGTTCCCTGCTGAAGGAGTACATGTTTCATACAAACTGACTTGTTATTATTGAAATAAACTGCCGAAATGTCCCCAAATGCTAGTTTGTTGTCAAATTTAAGTAGCAGTTTTCGATGAAATTTACATGGAATTGAAATAGTTTAATATATCTTAGGTAGGTGGGTGCGATTTGAATTTCACTGACATATTTGTTGTTTTAACTGGGTTTAGGGAATAACAGAATTACTTTTAGAACATCTTCTTTGTCCTTTCAGGGATCTTTGCTGGCATCTTCAATCAGCAGGCTCTTCTGATGCCTAAAGGAAAAAGCCCCTTTTCAGACATGTCCCTTGACAGAAATTTCATTAAGTCTCTCTCAAGAGCCAATCATTTGTCGTCTGCTGGAAACTTCCCCTGCCCTCAGTGTGACAAAGTATTCTCTGGGTCGGGCACCAGATGGCGACATATAGCTGCAAAGCACAAAAATGTTACCTACTCCTGTGTGTGTGGTAAAGTTTACAGCTACGGACACAATTTACTGGCACACCAGAAACTGTGTACTATTCACCAGACATCCCAATCTCAATAAACCACCAGTCCTGGTCTGGGTCCTTCCATGTTGGGCATCTGTATGTTTGTGATTTGTTGACATGTTGTACCCAAATCCATCTTTGTGTTACATAAGGTGGTAGCAGCTGCAATTGTACTTGGATTTAACGAAGGCCACATGTGGAAATTAAAGGACTGACTGACTGAGTTTAGTTTTACGCTGCTTTTAGCAATATTCCAGCAATATCACGGCGGGGACACCAGAAATGGGCTTAACACATTGTGCCCATGTGGGGAATCGAACCCGGTCCTTGGCGTGACGAGCCAACGCTTTAACCACTAGGCTACCCCACCGCCTGGAAATTAAAGGATGATTTTGCAAAAATGGTATCCATAGTACGATAGTAATCATTAAGGTTATTACATTCCTTGTTTAAATACCATCATTCCTGACTGCCAGGTTTTGAACTATAAGTATTGAGTATAAGTATATTTTTACAGTGACTACTTTGCATACTGTTACTTGTTAAGGGTTTATTTTTCAATTTTGGTGAGATAAATTGATAAGCATTTTGTTTTGAAAGTTGTTGAAGAAAGACTGTTAGATCTGAGTTCACTTGATGAACTACTGGTTAAATGATGTATGTTCATGCACTTTGAGGTGTTCATGTTCTAATCATTGTTTTAAAACTGAAACAAGGGACATTTGTTTAATAGTCAAGATGATACACTTCGATTTTTGGTTAGTTAGATTCATCAAATTTTGCTCTTAATGGTTTGTTTTCCTTGTGAAATTTTACACATGTGAATTAGAAAGTTGACAACAAAGCTGATCTCCCCTTCAACCATTCATGTAAACGTAAACAGAGGGTGATAGATTTTTTGAACTTTTACTACTATTTGAGTGAGTTTTTGTTATAATCAAGCAAAAGTAAATATGTTGTTGAAAAGAAAGTTTCAGAGGTTACAGAAGCTTCATTCTCATGAGACATGTTTCTATGCGATGATAACATCGGTGATTGTGGCATTTTGATTATTGGTGTGCAGACTTTGCAAACAGGTTGTTCATTAGACATTTAGACTGATTAGCATTTTGGGAAGTGTTTATGGTTCAGTTTATAATTCTCCTCAAGGTATGTCATGGTGAATTTAGAACTGGCAATGACAACTGAGTTTAATGTTACTGTTCGAAACACCTTCCAACTGGTATTACCTGGAATGTCCCGACAAAAATCAGCCGAAAATAAACCCGGAAGATGTTCAGTTCACACTATTCCAAAATATTTTTGTTCAGTTCATAATGATTATGTATTTCTTTAATCTAATTCATTCCTCTCATCAGAGTATCAAATACATTTATTTCGAACTAGAACATATTTTCTTTGTTGTTTCAGGGGTTTTTGCCGGTAACAATCAACTTGGTGCTTTAAGGGACTTCAAATTACATCAGATTTCAGGACAAGGGCACATAAGCAGCTTGTTTTTGGATAGAACTCTTAGTGAAATTAAACCAGGACTTCCTCAAAAGAATTATCCTTGTGCATATTGTACCAAAGAGTTCACCAGCTACGGGTCGAGGTGGCGACATATTACTGCCATACATAAAAAGATGACATTTGCATGTGTCTGTGGAAAGACCTACAGTTACAAACACAATCTAGTGGTTCACCAGAAATCATGTTCCTCTTGTATTGCATGAAGGAGTAGCTTCTTCCTTTCATATTTCATCCATTTCCTCTGCCAATCAACAGTGGACTTTCTTTGTGCTTTCAGGGTGTTTAACACGCAAGAATGAAAAGGGTCATATGATGGATTACTCATCTCAAGTCCAACATTTTCCTCTCGGCCAGAACGTGTTCCCCAACATCTTTGCTAGAAACATGAGTCGGTTCACTGTACCCAGTGTAGGGCATGTAGGTTCTCAAGGCAAACAGTTTCCTTGTCCCGAGTGTACAAAAGTGTTTGCCAGTTATGGGGCCAGGTGGCATCACGTGACAGCAGTACACAAGAAGGTCACGTTTCCGTGTGTTTGTGGCAAGACGTACAGATACAGACACAATCTCGTTTACCATCAGAAGTCATGTTCAATGTGGCACTCAAAGTAGCACTTGTTCAAATATTTTTAACATTGAATGGCGGTTCAGGATTTTTTTAACCTTCACTACAGAAGAAGAATGGATGGCTTAAGTTTGGTTTTAAGATACGGGTTAGTGTGAAAAGCAGACCTAATATGCCGTTCCTGTTATAGAAGAGCTTTCATGGGTTTGATTGTTAATAGAACGTCCATTGTTGTGATGGTTCTCAAGTTTACGCAGACAGACAACATCTTGATGCAGACGCTGTAGTATTTTGCTTGAGATAATAAGTTCAGAAAGTTGTGTTTATATTGTGTCACCATGAAAATGATTCAAAAGCCACTGAATGCCAAATTTCTCAAACCTACTTGGTCTGAGCTTCTGTACTATGAATTAAAGATGAAGGTGGAATGGATGTTTGAAAACCAGAGTTTCCCCGAATTAGCTTCTAAAACGTAATCCTTTATTCTCCAAACACGAACTTATTTGTCCTGTGAACATGCTTAAGATAAGGTACTGAAGGAGATTGATCTGTGTCTCATGAAACATCTCTCTAAGAACAGTTTTCTTTGTCCTTTCAGGAGGTTATGGCATCAGTTCTATGAGCAGGTCTGGGCACCAGGTCCATCAGGTGCTGCCTGGGAGGGATCACTTTTCTAACTTTAGACCATTTACTCGGGGCCGAGCTAATCCCGGATCTTTGACTAAACAGTATCCGTGTCAGCATTGTGAGAAAGTTTTTGCTAGTCCTGGGACCAGATGGCATCATGTGGCTGCCATACATAAGAAAGTCACTCACAGATGTGTCTGTGGAAAGGTGTACAGCTATCGGTACAATCTACTGACTCACCAGAGAAATTGTGTTCAATGTGTGAAACCATAAACACATTCTGACTGTTCTTTCACTCAAGGAATGTGTTGCATCACTTCTTGAATCATATATCGAGCGAGTTGGGTTTTATGCTGCTTTTGGGAATATTCCATCAATATCACATCTGGGTACACCAGAAATGGGCTTCACACTTTGTATCCATGTGTGGAATCAAACCCAGGTCTTCAGCGTGATGAGCTGACACTTTAACCACTAGGCTACCCCACCGCCCCTTGAATAAAATAAAGCCTGTGACCTAAACGTCAACCTAGTGTTGTGTGAAATAACCACATGGTGGAATTCAGTGGTTCTTTCTGCTATGCTTGAGAGGTTTTAACAAGAACAATCTGATGTCGCTACCTGGAGATTAGAGCATATCTTTTTGTGATTTCAGGAAATTGTGGTGGCTTTGATGACAATTCTGTGAGAATATCTCACGAAGCAGGCCGACAGCAGCAGTCACACAGCATTTACCACAATATGCCAGCCATTGGGGCTGATGATGAAACAAGGAACCCTTTTTTGGCGCTTGATAATTCATTGCATCATTCCACAACGAGACATTCAGGGGTCGTGACTAAACAGTTCCCTTGTCCTGAATGTGATAAATCATTTGCAAGTTATGGCTCTAGGTGGCATCATGTCACTGCTATCCATCGGAAGGTCACCCACCAGTGTGTGTGTGGGAAGATCTATCATTATAAGCACAGCATGCTGTTTCATCAGAGATCTTGTCCACAGTGCAGTAATTCCTGAAGAATGTCTTGTTCCTGTGGTATTATTAAAGCCTTGGGTCAAATGTCTGCAGGGTTCCTGTGAGCATTTTGTTATTGTCCAAAGATGATCATCATTAAACTTGTGATGTTGTATTTGAAAGCATTTCACTCAAGCATCGTCATATGTTTTATCCACAATGTGTCAATTCCTGAACCACTGAAGCCTCCCTTGCATCAATATATAGCTGTAGTATTCATAGTTTTATCTCCACTCACTTGCACTGAACCCAACAAAACTGAAATGTCATAAGAGATCCTGTTCATTATTTTTATGACTAAAGCACTCCTTTTTTAACATTATGAAAATAATTGTCAACTGTCCTGGGCTAAAAAGGATTAGGATCACCTAACATCACCAATACTTGCAGCCAAACTACACCTCAGCCAGATAAACCAACATCATTACATTGTGTCTCCATATCTTCATTGCTGAACTGGTTGAAAAGTGAATTTTTTGGCCCTCATTTATTATCTTTGAAAAGTGAACCATTACTTTACTGCTGGACTAGAACCAAGTCTTCTTTATTCTTTCAGGAAAATATGCTGTGGCTACTGCAGTTAGGCATTTGAGTCATTTCCGTCATCCTGGACAGGATCAGTTTTGTTACCCTGGTAGACCATTTAGTGCCAGCAGTGACAGATCAGTTGGAGGCACCGCCTTGAAGCAGTACCCATGTCCACAATGTGACAAGGTCTTTGCTAATTATGGCTCCCGGTGGCATCACATTTCTGCCATTCACAAGAAAGTCACCTACTCGTGTGTTTGTGGGAAGGTTTACAGTTACCGTTACAATCTTCTTACCCATCAGAGAACCTGCGTTCTTTGCAGCAAGTCTTGAGGGTGTATGTCTAATGTTTGTGGGAAGGTTTACAGTTACCGTTACAGTCTGCTTACCCATCAGAGAACCTGCATTCTTTGCAGCAAATCTTGAGGGTGTATGTCTAATGTTTGTGGGAAGGTTTACAGTTACCGTTACAGTCTGCTTACCAATCAGAGAACCTGCGTTCTTTGCAGCAAATCTTGATGATGTACGTCTAGTGTTTGTGGGAAGGGTTACAGTTACCGTTACAATCTTCTTACCCATCAGAGAACCTGTGTTCTTTGCAGCAAATCTTGATGATGTACGTCTAGTGTTTGTGGGATGGTTTACAGTTCCCGTTACAATCTTCTTACCCATCAGAGAACCTGCGTTCTTTGCAGCAATTTTGATGATGTACGTCTCGTGTGTGTTAAGCTGGACTAGAACAAGGTTTTCTTTGTGCTTGCAGGAACTTTTGCTGTCAGTGGCATTCAAGGTGTTCACCAAGTTCATCCAATTCCTACAGGACAAGCTCAGTTTTCATCCATGTATAGAAATAGACCATTTTGTTCAGGCAGCTCTCAGGCAAACTCAAGAGGCTCACCCAAATTGTTTCCTTGTCAGCAGTGCGACAAGGTGTTCACTAATTATGGGTCACGGTGGCATCATATCACAGCAATTCATAAGAAAATTACATTTCCGTGTGTTTGTGGGAAGTTTTACAGTTATAAGCACAATTTGCTGTCTCATCAGAGATCCTGTGTGCAGTGTTTCAAACAGTGAGAATAGGAATTTCCATGGGAGGACCTTTGTGTCAGGAAAATTGTACAATGGTTTCTTGAATACCTCAAACTAACTCCTTGTTCAGGTTCCACAACAGCTTCATTCTGGGATGTTCTCAGTAGTCCTGAGTGGTCAGTCTTCACTAGAGTTAGTTTGACATTCACCAGTTGAGGTTTTGTTACCAAGATTTTTCAATTGTATGGGTATGTTAGAGAATGTTTTGTGGATTCCACTAGAACACTCTCTTCTTTGTTGTTTCAGGAGGATTTTGTCATGGTGATATGACGACCTTTCAGCAAGGTCATCCATTCGTAAAAGGACCCGGTCAGCTTCTCAACCTGTTCACTCATAGACTCCCTATTACCAATAGGATGGCAAATCCTCCTCCAGCAGAGACAAAACAGTTTCCCTGCCCACAGTGCTCTAAGGTCTTCAATAACCATGGTTCTCGATGGCATCACATTGCAGCTATCCACAAGAAAATAACCTTCACATGCTTGTGTGGAAAGGTGTACAGCTATCGGTACAATCTACTGACTCACCAGAGAAATTGTGTTCAATGTGTGAAACCATAAACACATTCTGACCATTCTTTCACTCAAGGCATGTGTTGCATCACTTCTTGAATCATATATCGAGCGAGTTGGGTTTTATGCTGCTTTTGGGAATATTCCATCAATATCACATCTGGGTACACCAGAAATGGGCTTCACACTTTGTATCCATGTGTGGAATCAAACCCAGGTCTTCAGCGTGATGAGCTGACACTTTAACCACTAGGCTACCCCACCGCCCCTTGAATAAAATATAGCCTGTGACCTAAACGTCAACCTAGTGTTGTGTGAAATAAGCACATGGTGGAATTCAGTGGTTCTTTCTGCTATGCTTGAGAGGTTTTAACAAAAACAATCTGCTGTCGCTACCTGGAGATTAGAGCATATCTTTTTGTGATTTCAGGAAATTGTGGTGGCTTTGATGACAATTCTGTGAGAATATCTCACGAAGCAGGCCGACAGCAGCAGTCACACAGCATTTACCACAATATGCCAGCCATTGGGGCTGATGATGAAACAAGGAACCCAGTTTTGTGGCTTGATAATTCATTGCATCATTCCACAATGAGACATTCAGGAGTCGTGACCAAACAGTTCCCTTGTCCTGAATGTGATAAATCATTTGCAAGTTATGGCTCTAGGTGGCATCATGTCACTGCTATCCATCGGAAGGTCACCCACCAGTGTGTGTGTGGGAAGATTTATCATTATAAGCACAGCATGCTGTTTCATCAGAGATCTTGTCCACAGTGCAGTAATTCCTGAAGAATGTCTTGTTCCTGTGGTATTATTAAAGCCTTGGGTCAAATGTCTGCAGGGTTCCTGTGAGCAATTTGTTATTGTCCAAAGATGATCATCATTAAACTTGTGATATGTTGTATTTGAAAGCATTTCACTCAAGCATCGTCATAGGTTTTATCCACAATGTGTCAATTCCTGAAGTACTGAAGCCTCCCTTTCATCAATATATAACCAAATTGTTTCACCCAAATTGTGTCCAAAGGTGTTCACTAATTATGGGTCACGATGGCATCATATCACAGCAATTCATAAGAAAATTACAATTTTTCCTTATCCTGACTCATGCTCTTTTGCTTGTCTTCTTCTTCTTGCGAACATAGTGGAACACTTGTATCTCCTTATTTGAAGCTCCCTTCAAAATAAAATCACTAATTGGTACTCACCACGAGTTGCTCCCCTTTGTCTCCCCTGGCGGGAAAAGGTGTCGCCACCCTCTGGCCATGTGCTCCACTCTCTCCTTCTTCGCCCAGTGAGCAGGATGTGAGAGCGCCTTGTGTCTCCTTACACACATATCCTTTGATAATCTCTTAGTTTTTACCTCTCATAGGTTACTATAGAGGTATAGCTAGTATCCTTTACTATTTGTATTGATTAATTATCGTATTTCTACTGTTTATTCCGTGTATTCGTGATTGTTCAGCTAACTTCGTTCATGAAAATCTGTGCGATTTGTAGATTACGTTTTCTGCCGCCCGATCCACATGTAATATGCCCTAGTTGTTCTCTGCCCGTGTCGCGTTTACGCGTTGCAGTTACTGCATTAATTTATCTCATTCTGCATTTAATAAATATCATCTTTTACGTCTTAAGGCGTGCTGCAGATAGATCAACGCAAACAAGGGCAAAACATGGCAGAGAGTCAGATATTCCTTCCAGTCAGCTGCTAGCGATGTCGACCCTCTCCCGTCTGGTGTTCTGCTAGAGACTTCCCTACGGAGAGGAACGTGGGGCGCAGATCCGTTACCTCGAAGAAACGACCGGCCTCCCCAGACATCCCGTCATTGCAGGCGAAGTCTAAGAGGGCCTCATCGTCGTCTCAGCGCAGATTGAGGACACCCAGGGCAGCGCAGACTTCCAAAGGAAATCTCGGAAGACAGCAAGAACTTTCTCAGCCGAGATCGTTCCAGCAGCAGAGTTGGGCCTCTCGATGATCAGCCGATAATCATCCCCGACTTCACGGCAGAAGAAGCGACCGTGTCAGCGACTGTGACTTCTGCAGAGATCTCCATGCAGCCTGATGCCTCTACACCGGCGTCAGGCGTCATTGATGTGAACCCCATCGCAGAAAAGACGCCCGACGACTTCGTCTGAATCATCCCAGAAGACATGATCGCGGCAGATTATGAACATCATGGAGGACCACTACAAACTGCGCAAGCAGGTCCGAAGCCTTATGAAGGCTCCAGCGTAGACAGCACCCCAGAGGCACCCCCGTCCAGCGTAGCAGCCAAGGATGTCATGTCAGCGAAGGAAGTCCCGCACCACCTTGGCGAAGGACCTAGATGTACAGCCGAAGGCCTTCGCGAAGGAGAGATCATCACCATCTTCGATTTCATCTCTAGATATGGACTCAGACCATCAGACATCACGGAAGCCTTCGCGAAGGTCATATCATCGATCCCCGGACGGACGCAAATGAAGCCGGCGAAGGCATTCGCGAAGGACATATGATTCAAATCTTCATCGTCTAGAAGAACATCGAGGGACTGCCGGAGAGCTTCGGCGAAGCTATCAACATTCACCTCACAAGTCTCGAGAAGATCATCCATAGGCGATCTCCATCCGTTCATCACAGATAGTCGATCACCCATCAGATCTCCACATAGAGCTGGCACAAGTCAACTAGATCGCCACAAACCTCATCAGATATACAGACAGCTACGCGGTCGAAGAGCATCTACAATTTATTAATGATGATGGTTTTGAGGATGATGGAGGAATCATATTTTCTGATGCAGAGATCACGGTATTGGATGGTCAATAACCTAGATCTCACATCACCATCTAAAAGTGGCAATACAGCTCAGGCGTATTTGATGAAGGAAGATGATCCAGATGCAATCACTCTACCCCGATCGACCCGATTGCGGCAGTGCCACAGAATCTAGATGCAGCTTTCAGAAAGCTCACGAAAGTTCAGATACCACATCTACCCAACTTTCAAGCCAAGAAGTTCTCCGCATAACATGGACTCCTTCTACAAGGCCCAGGACATCGATGAGAACTATAAGATCATCAGCGATGTAAAGAACAAGATTTACAAGATGGATGATCGCAAGTTACTCATATAGAAACCATGACGAGACGTATGTTCTTTGGGTTAAATAGATCTGGGACGATCAATGAGACTCTTATTACTAGATTCGATTCCACGGCGGAAGATGATAGAATGATTTATTCTGCTTACTTATGCAAAAGAAAAGATCAGCAGTTTTAACGGATCATCTTACATCTGTTTCAGCAGCACTGACCTTAGCTCGTCGTCAAGGCCTCCTCGCCTCTGTAATTGGGGAGAACTTTACAGCCCCACTTTATACAGCCCGTGGTCGACAACATCCATCTTTGGCGGAGAAATCGACAAAGATGCATAAGGAAGTCTCTAAGGATTCCAGGGAAGTCCTTATGATTAGATCGATGGACACACTAGCCAGCGTCATTAAGTCAGACTTCACAAAGATACTCAGGCAGATCTAAGTTCCGCGGCCTACAAAGAGCAAGAGACAGGAAGATAGCCAGCTCTAGAGGTAAAGATTCTTTTAGAATTAAGCCCATATGGCAACTATAGAGGAGGATCAGGAAGAGGCAGGACACCCAGAGGTTCGCGCAATTATAGGCAGCTGAAACACAGGTTGAACGGCGACTGGAGTCTTCCACCCCAGCCGTTCCAGTACAACCAGCTCAAGTGGGTGGGCCTCCAACTACACTGGGAAAACTGGGGAATACTGCAAGATCGCTTCGTCTCCAACATTATTCAACACAGTTTACAATTATCCCTCTACAGGACAATCCTCCGCTGACAATCAAACCCCCAAGTTAGATTTACAAGCGCAGCAACTACCAAAGATAAAAGAGGCTGTCTCATCACTCCTATCCAAACAGGCCATAGAAGTAATAGATCAAGCAAGCGTCGAACCAGGTTTCTACTCCCCAGTTTTCCTAGTTCCCAAGAAAAACTCCACGAGAGAAATACAGACTCATCTACAACATGAGCTTTTCAGCAAGAACTATCTCATGGAAACCACGAAGTTTCGCATGATACATTTACCTCAGATACGCCAGATGATTCGGTCCTATGGACTACATGGGCAGCATAGATCTACAGGATGCCTACTTGCACATCCCCATTCATCCGATTCCAGGAAATACCTACGATTTACTCTAGAAGGGCTACATTACCAGTGGAAAGTACTCCCCATTGAATATCATCAGCCCCTGGCTATTCACGAGGATAACGCGAAACCACGATTATCAAGAATTTCTACATGCGTCAAGGGACTACGCGAGTCTGCGTTTTACCTCGGACGACGGGATACAAGTAGATCAAGATCCTGCGTCTCAAACTACAGTTAAATTACATCATAAAGCTACTAACACAACTAGGTTGGTTAGTAAACTTACGCCAAGTCGGACCTAGTACCATCGCCAGAGACCTACAGTTCCTAGGTATTCGATTCATCACAAATCGCAACCGTATTATGGTACCAGAAGACCGTTGGCTCAAGATACAACAGACCATTCCACCAGCTCTACTCTCTCGTTACCACTCTGCGACAATGGCAGAGCCTACTAGGTCTTCTCACATCAGCCCAAGACGCATGACTGTCACAGGCAGATTACAGTTCACGTCCCTACAGGTCCTCATCAGCGCACATCTCAGCGATGTACAACCATTCAGTCTACCGAAACATCTCAGACCACATCTACTATGGTGGACCAAGAAATCGAATGTCTGCGAAGGGATTTGTTTAGCAGAGCAGGAATACAAAACCCATCTGTATGTAGAGCCAGCGTCACTCCAAGGTTGGGGAGCTCATCTCACCAACCACCGCGATATCAGGGTTATGGAATCAGCAGATGCAAACTCCATATAAACAGTCTGAAATGGAAAGCTGTAATCAGCATGTTCTACATTGGAGCACATTTCTGCAAAATCTGGCAGCCCTAATGGTCATACAGACAATTGGACAGTGGTGGTTCTACATAAACAAGCAAGGCTCAGCGAGGATCGATGAACCTTTTGAACCTAAACTTTCAACTGTTGGATTTATACAAGATCTAAATCTACATGTCAGAGCAGTGCACATTCCCGGGCCAGAAATATACTAGCAGGCGGCTCTCTCGGCCTCATCTACCATCACCGACCAGAGTGGATGATCAGCCCGAGGAAAATTTTTGCACAGATAATCAAGCAATGATGGGCGCCATTAATAGACCCCATTAACCCACAGCGATTCAACAATCAGCTTCAGACATTAGTGTCACAGTCCCAGACCCCAGCTTGAGCTAGCGGGCTCTAAGTCTATCATGGTAGGAAGGCCTCAATGCGTGCGTTTCCTTCGCGTCGGCAATAATACCTCAAAGTATTACAGAAAATCGAACAAACACAGAGCCTACAACTCACTTTGGTCGCCCTACTGGCCGGCCAGAGCGTGGTTTTCATACTAATTCAAAGAAATGGGTCAACCAACACTGGAGCTACCCAGCGGCGCAAACCTGTTAATTCATCCTCACACCAAACAAGTGCTACGCGAAGCCAGCAATGTTCCAACTGCGTTATGGACTGTATGCAAATAATGTTTAAACAAGAGGATATTCTGCAGGAGGCGGCAAAAGCAGTCGCTTGAAACGCGCTACGTTACTCAACTTCGTAGCTTATGCGACTGACAAGTGGCACAGTTTAGAAAATTATGCAACAAAGAAAGGGTTTACAGCAAGAGGCTTCCACGACCTCAGAGTGGCAGACTATTTGTGTTACCTCGCCAAAACAAACATTTAAAGGTTCAGCGATATCAACATATCTTGCGGCAGGCTCTGTAATCACCATGAGAGCGGGTGTCAAATTGACAAGATCTCCAGAGTTACTGGCCTTACTACGAGAACTTTCGATTGGAGGACCAAAAGCGGAAGTTCCACGCCCAGCGGGATCTGAATGTGAGTGTTACAACACCTCCGCAGTGAGGTCTATGAACCCTTGGAATGGACAAACTTTGAATTTCTCTCACAGAAAACATTGTTTCTGCTATAAGCTAGCCACAGCAGCAGCAAATGTCTGAAATTCGCAGCTCTGGATTCTGAGGATACAGTTTATTGACAATATAACACAGCGCTTTCGGATTAAGATGGGATTTCATTGCAAAGAATCAACTGCCAGGTCAACCAGACGGAATTATTCCACATCCCGGCTATCCTCTATTCTCGGATCACAAGATACACAAGACCTATCACTGTGTCGGTAAGAGCTCAAAGTTTATTCCACGACGATCTAAAACAAAGGAGGAAGATTTCTCAAGCGTTTATTCATCCCATTGCTCGCCCTCTGAATCAAACAGAAGTGTCCGCGGACCATAATATCTATTTGGATAAGGACTGTCATTCTCCGTGCCTACAAAGGCAGCAGGCTTGGACCCACCAACAGCATCAAATCCACATGAGATCAGGGCACTGGCCTCTACCCTCGCCCTACTGCGGTAACTGTTCCTTGAACACGATTATGGAAGGATGCTATTATTGGAAATCTAACATGGTGTTTGCTAATCACTACCTAAGAGACATCACTACAGAAGATGTCTCTGGCATTCCACCATTTAGGACCACTGGTCCTGCTCAGCAACTGACGAGTCCCACCAGAGTAGTTAAAATATTGGCCTCACAAGATTAATATGTATTTTATACATACTCATCTAACTTATAACTCTAAGGAGTTTAGGGCTATGTATATATGTTCGGCTTAAATTATTCTACCTTAAGCATATGCTTGGATATAGTCAATTTCAGTGCCTCTATCAGAGTCACCTATATATATATATATATAATTTATATGTATTGTTCAATATATTCATAATGTAATTCCCTTTAATGGCTTTATATAACCTATGGTTTCTTTATACAGGAAACATCCTAAATCTAAGACTTCATGAAGTTCCCAGTGGGGATATTACAGTATATCTATACAAAATCACTAATTATAAATCCAAAGTACATGTGGCGAAAATTACATTTTAGTGATATTTTATGCTGTTTGTGGGAAGTTTTACAGTTATAAGCACAATTTGCTCTCTCATCAGAGATCCTGTGTGCAGTGTTTCAAACAGTGAGAATAGGAATTTCCATGGGAGGACCTTTGTGTCAGGAAAATGGACAATGGTTTCTTGAATACCTCAAACTAACTCCTTGTTCAGGTTCCACAACAGCTTCATTCTGGGATGTTCTCAGTAGTCCTGAGTGGTCAGTCTTCACTAGAGTTAGTTTGACATTCACCAGTTGAGGTTTTGTTATCAAGATTTTTCAATTGTATGGGTATGTTAGAGAATGTTTTGTGGATTCCGCTAGAACACTCTCTTCTTTGTTGTTTCAGGAGGATTTTGTCATGGTGATATGACGACCTTTCAGCAAGGTCATCCATTCGTAAAAGGACCCGGTCAGCTTCTCAACCTGTTCACTCATAGACTCCCTATTACCAATAGGATGGCAAATCCTCCTCCAGCAGAGACAAAACAGTTTCCCTGCCCACAGTGCACTAAGGTCTTCAATAACCATGGTTCTCGATGGCATCACATTGCAGCTATCCACAAGAAAATAACCTTCACATGCTTGTGTGGAAAGGTGTACAGCTACAAACACAATCTTCTGTCCCACCAAAGGTCTTGTTCTGCTTGTTTGAAGTTGTAGCTTACTCTGGTTGAGTTCATTGATGGAGAAACAATTCTGGTTTGAAAATTCCAAGGCTGGGGTGATTTCATGGAGAGACACTTGAGTTTGTTGTTTGTTATTTTTTGTTACGGGAGATAAATGATTTTAGTTCCGTGAGCCATGTGTGGCTGATTTTAAGACTGTTGATTCTGTTTGTGTTCGCAGAGACTTTAATTAACAAAACTGAACTGATGGTGTTCATGTTTACTTTTGAATCTGCCTGTGTTTATGGTTCTTTGGGACTATAGATTTTGTTCTTGTTCAGGGTGATCTCACACTTTTTCTGCATTCTACCTCAGTTATAATCAAACTGTTCAAGATGTCTGCATCTCTTGGTCAGACGAACTGGAACGAAGTTTTCTTCATGTTATCATAAAAATATGATATCAGATATCAGATTTATGCTCATTTTGGCTGAGGCCCATCATGGTCAAACTTGAAGTTATCCAATTATTGGTACATTTACTTCCAGAATCAAACTGATTTCAAATCACCTTCCAAACTCTTTCCACGTTCACAGCGATAAAATGTTCACTTCTAAAGGATCACAATGGCATCAAGTCACAGCAATTCATAAAAAAAGATGACTTTTGAATGTGTCTGTGGAAAGTCATATTGCTACAAGTCAAATGTATTGGCTCACCATAGGTCTTGTTATGCCTGTTTGAATGTCAACCAGACGTTGCTCACTTCCTTGGAGAAGAGTTTTGTGGCTTTAGTTGTAGGAGTCCTAATCAATGGAACATTGTGTCATCCACACACATCCCAACAGCTCTACCTCAGTAGTAATCAAACTGTTCAAGATGTCTGCATCTGATGAACTAGAACAAACTTTTCTTTATGTTTTCAGGAAAATATGATGGCTGTGATGTCGTGGACATGAGCACATTTTGGCAAGAGGCCCATCATATGCCGAACTTACAGTTAGCCAATTTTAGGAATAGAAACTTTCAGACTCATACTAGTTCCAAATCACCGTCAAAACTCTTTCCATGTTCACAGTGTGACAAAGTGTTTGCGAATAAAGGATCACGTTGGCATCATGTTACTGCAATTCATAAAAAGATAACATTTGAATGTGTGTGTGGAAAGTCTTATAGCTACAAACATGGGCTCTTGTTTCATCAGCGTACTTGTTGTATTTCTCAGGGACAAACTAAGTAGGTATTAAGTTGACCAGTCATCTTGTTGCAGCTTCCTTTAATGTTTGGGTTCAGTGGATTGCATATCAGGAAAAAATGGATTCCATCTGCTTTCCCACCTGTGTTCGTTTGTTAGTCCAAAACAAATACTGACTCATCAAACTTGTTTGCATCTAAATAGTGTATTTTCGAAGCACGTGTCATTCATTTGAATAAGAACAGGGTTTTCTTTGTGTTTTCAGATAGTTTCGGTGGCAGTGGTGAACCTGGTGATTTGAACATCTTTCATCGTGACCATGTTAGCGGGTTTGCTCAGTTTTATGTTAGGCCAATGGTTGTAGGTGCTGCCAAGTCTTTTCCGTGTTTCGAGTGTGATAAGGTGTTTGCAAGTCGCGGATCCCGATATAATCATATAGCTGCGAAACACAAGAACGTGATCTATCCATGTGTTTGTGGCAAAGAATTCAGCTATAAACACCATCTTTTATCGCATCAGAAAACATGTCTGGACCTTCCAAAAACTTAGAAAGTGGCGTAGAGGGTGTCTTTGGATACATAGTTCCTGGTCAGGAGTCTGTTTCCAGTTCCTTTCTTGTTCACAGTGTGATAAAGTGTCTGCAAATAAAGGTTCACATTGGAATCATGTTGCTGCAATTCTTGAAGAAATACATGTGATTGTGTCTGTGGAAAGTAGTACAGCAACAAACATGGTCAGTTGTTTCATCAGTGCACTTACTGTATTTCATGGAGAAAGTAAGCAGGTATTGGGATAGACAGACTTGGGTCCTTATTGCCGTACCATTTCATCCAGTTAGATTGGTTCCGTGTGTTCATTTGTCATGATCACAAGGTTTGGCGTCCATTTTCTATCCCACCTCTGAGCATTTTACTGTTTCGTCCAATCACAACTCCTGACTTGTCCCACTTGTTAGTGCCTGGTTTTCTGCGAAATTGGTATCTTCATTTGAATAAGAACAGGATTTTCTTTGTGATTTCAGATAGTTTCGGTGGCAGTGGTGAAGCTGGTGATTTGAACATCTTTCATGCCGAGCATGTTAGCGGGTTTGCTCAGTTTTATGTTAGGCCAAGATTAGCAGGTGCTGCCAAATGTTTTCCATGTTGTGAATGTGGTAAAGTATTTGCAAGTCATGGATCTAGATGGAATCACATTGCTGCAAAACACAAGAACGTGACCCACCCATGTGTTTGTGGGAAAGTATTTAGCTATAAACACCATCTTTTATCTCATCAGAAAACATGTCCGGATTGCCAAAAGTATTGAAGATGGTCTTCCCCCATGAGGAGTTGTTTGTTAAAGAGATTGATAATCAGATTTGAACATTGTTAATTTCTTTTGATTTTCGTTCACATGGTGATCTTGTGAGCTTGGTGTAGCAGAGTTTTAGTTCATTGAAATCATCTTTTGAATGAATGATAAGGACATTATCATATCATAACATCATGACTTGTTACAGCTGAAAAATGAGGCACGTTTTTTAACTGAGATCTGACAATCCTGGACTATGAATAGTCACTGTTTGTTGTTGTTTTCCTGGAGGAAACTATGTTTCAAATATGTACTTTGGTTTTGGGTAAGATTGCATTCTACCATTAAAACTTCTACATTAAAAGTCTTGCAGTGAACGGGAACTCATGCAGATGTCATTCAGTGCACAGTTGTCAAACATCTCTCATTTACTACACATTTCCATTGTTTCTTGTGTTGGTGAATGACGTTAAATGTCATGTGCTTTGTGAGAATCCAATTTTGTATTGTTTCCTTGGTACTAAAGATATATAGCAAGCAGTATTGCAAACAAATGATCTGTAAATACAAAGTTTATGTTCATGAAAGACCTGAGGCTCAAATACATTTGATCAGCAGAGTTCATGTTGATTTTTGTAGTATGTCTCATATTTGTTTCATAATAAAATATAAACAATAACTGGATTTGTTATTTCTTTATCTTTCACTCTCATCGAATATGGATGTGGAAATGTTACTAACTGCTTAATAACAAGGTTGATTGTCATCAAGAGATGTTCACAACCCCAGATGAAAACCGTTTCATGAATTATGTAATTTGCCATAGATTATGTATGAGCTGTGCGACAAAAAAAATGCAAAATATACATTCTCTGAATTAATTTGTCAGACAAGAAATCTGTTCACCTTGTAAACAGTGCACCCTGATATACAGTTAGCAATTAGACATGCCACGATATTGCTGAAATGATGGTCAAAGTGCCTTTCAAACCTAGTAATGCATGCGTGCACACGCACGCACACACACACACACACACACACACACACACACACACATTGACCAGATATAGACATGGAAGGATCATTGATTGTATGGTTTTGATATTGCCAATCCAAACTCACAGACACCAAAATTATTCCAAATCATTCCAATACTTAGGTTTTGTGACAGAAATCTGATGCTGCATAATGTCTTACAATAACTAGTCAGGGTTCAGTTGTACAAAGCAATCTCAGTAAGGTGATCGTTACTCTTATTCCTTAACATAGACTTACGACAGCTGTAGCACTGAGGTGATCGTAACTCCCATTCCCTAACATAGACTTACGACAACTGTGGCAATAAGGTTATTGTAATTCCCATTCCTTAACATAGACTTAGGACAGCTGTAGCACTGAGGTGATCGTAACTCCCATTCCCTAACATAGACTTATGACAACTGTGGCAATAAGGTTATTGTAATTCCCATTCCTTAACATAGACTTAGGACAGCTGTAGCACTGAGGTGATCGTAACTCTCATTCCCTAACATAGACTTACGACAACTGTGGCAATAAGGTTATTGTAATTCCCATTCGTTAACATAGACTTACGACAACTGTAGAACCGAGGTGATCATAAGTCCCATTCCCTAACATAGACTTACGACAACTGTGGCAATAAGGTTATTGTAATTCCCATTCCTTAACATAGATTTCCGACAGCCGTAACACTGAGGTGATCATAACTCCCATTCCTTTACATAGACTTACGACAGCCGTAGCAACAAGGTGATTGTAACTCCCATTCCTTAACATAGACTTACGACAACTGTAGCACTGAGGTGATCGTAACTACCATTCCTTCATATCAACATACAACAACCGTACCTACCAAGTTGTTTTGTACAACAGCAAATTACGTGAAGTTAAAAGTGCAGTTCTTGCTTCCTTAGTGACACTGAACATTAACTCTTGGAATAACCAATAAGACTTCTTACAGTGGCCTCCATGCAGATCAGCAGAGTGGAACACTGGTCATCCAGTAGGTTCACATCTGGATATTGACCTGGACAACTTCGTGTATTAAGGGCGGTGGGGTAGTCTAGTGGTTAAAGTGTTCACTCGTCACACTGAAGGCCTGGGTTTGATTCTCGACATGGGTACAATGTGTGAAGTCAATTTCTGGTGTCCCTCGACGTGATTTTGCTGGAATATTGCTACAAGTACTGTAAAACCAAACCCATGCACTTAGTGTAATAGACAACCAGGTATAATTCATTTGAATAAGAACAGGGTTTTCTTTGTGTTTTCAGATAGTTTCGGTGGCAGTGGTGAACCTGGTGATTTGAACATCTTTCATCGAGACAGTGTTAGCGGGTTTGCTCAGATTTATGTTAAGCCAAGGGTCGAAGGTGCTGTCAAGTCTTTTCCATGTTTTCATTGTCATAAAGTATTTGCAAGTCATGGGTCTAGATATAATCACGTATCGGCTATTCACAAGAAGGTTATCTATCCTTGTGTTTGTGGCAAAGAATTCAGCTATAAACATCATCTTGCATCTCATCAGAAAACATGTCTGGATGTCTGGAAACATGGCCAAAATCCCTAGAATAGAACCAGTTCCCCAGAAGAGATATTGGGTATGTCTTTTCAGAGCAATGTGCAGTTTTGTTTAATGGAGAGCTGATAAAGACATAGATCAGTGTTGGTTTCTGTCAGTTTAAGTTGATATGATGATCTCGTGTTTGGTGTCTCAACCTGAGGTTAATTATTTGAAATAGTATTCTGATAAATTAGGACTCATAGCTTATTACATTAGACAAATATTATGCACATTCCTGTACCAAGAACTAACAATTCTGGACTTGAATAGTCACTGTTCTTTTCATGAAGGAGGGGGCGGTGGGGTAGCCTAATGGTTAAAGCGTTGCCTCGTCACACCGAAGACACGGGTTCGAATCCCCACATGGGTACAATGTGTGAAGCCCATTTCTGGTGTCCACCGCCGTGATGTTGCTTGAATATTGCTAAAAGCGGAGTAAAACCAAACTCAGTCAGTCAGTCTTTTCATGAAGGAAAGTTTCTTTTATCATCCAAAACTGTGTTCCACAGGAGATATCGCTTTGTGTGAGATCAAACGATATCTCCTAGGAGATATTGTTTTGACAGTAGATTTTGTACAATGCCCTGACAATGCTATGACGTCATGTACTTGATGACGTCACAATGCTATGACGTCACAATGCTATGACATCGCTGCACTGCAAGTCTAATGGCAGTACCATGTTCAGAGATGTACATTTTTCATTGAAAATTAATGAAGAGTGATTTTGGATGATAAATAGAATCTCACCCTCGTGTCTTCTGATATCAAATATATCAACACTCGTTGATAAAGTAAAAATATCCTCGGCAAGCCTCGGATATTTGTAACTTTATCAACCGTGTTGATATAATTGATATCAGAAGACACGAGGGTGAGATTCTCTATATATGCACATGGGGTTGTGTAACTTTGGCCTCTGCCATTATGATATTTGGATTCTTGTAGTAAACCTTGATTTACTGCTGATGTCATTCAATGCACAGATGTCAAACATTAGTCATTTACTACACCTTGCCATTGTTCCTTTTGTTATCATGGTGTCCTAGCTTGTTCAGCAGGTGCATATTCCGCACATTCTTTTGTGAACAACTGACAATCCTGGACTGTGAATAGTCACTGTTAGATCTTTTCCAGAAAAAAAGTTTCTTTCCTATAATGACATGGGGTAATGTAAGACTGCCAGAGGTACAGATAAGCTGCGTATCGTGGCCAGAGATGCTACAAGATGGCTACTGACTAATCTGATCAGTTTGCTGGATTCTTTAATAAGTAGCAGTAAATGGTTGATAAATTGATTATACAACCATCACACAGATGTAAATTACTCAAATATTTATGTGAAAACTCAATTCCTATTAAGTCTATTGCGTACAAGTATGCTCTAATTTTGGTAAATACTCAATAAATGTGATCTTCCATGCATACACACGAAAATGTCAAATCTTGGCTTCCGTACCAGTGGATAGATAACATAACTGAGGTATAGTGAGAGGTTCTATTTCATGACATGAACTTCACAACTTGCAGTCTTTCTTATCGTTTCTCATATTACAGATCAAATATAAATAAACACATTTAAACATTTTTATGTTTTTAAAATCTATGGAAAATGGCAAATTACCCAATTGAGTTTGAGTGAGGTGAGTACAATTTATTTGGTTACTCAAAGGAAAATTAGGATACCCAATTGAGATCATCACAAACGAGTACATAACTCAATTACCCAAAAATTTATCTGTAGCTCTGGACTGCCCTCGAATAAATCATGGATTCTTGCAGTGAACGTTGATTTATGCTGATGTCATTCAGTGCACAGTTGTCAAATATCTGTCATTTACTACACATTGCCATTGTTTGTTGTGTTGGTGAATGACGTCTAAGTGTCATAGTGAAAATCCAATTTTGTATTGTTTCCTTGGTACTAAAGCTATGTAGCAAGCAGTCATGCCAACAAATGATCTGTACAGAGTTTCTGTTGATGAAGGAGCTGAGGCTCAAACACAGCTGATCAGCAGAGTTCATGTTGATTTTTTGTAGCATGTCTCATTTGTTTTATAATAAAATATAAATAATAACTGGATTTGTTATTTCTCTATTTTTCCTTAAATGGAATATGGATGCTGAAATGTTGCTGGATTTCTAATTTGATTTTCGTCAAGAGATTCTCAAAACCCCAGGGGCGGTGCGGTAGCCTAGTGGTTAATGCGTTCGCTCGTCACGCCGAAGACCCGGGGTTTGATTCCTCAAATGGGCATAATGTGTGAAGCCCATTTCTGGTGCCCCCACCATGATATTGCTGGAATATTGCTAAATGTGGCATAAAACTAAAACTCGCTCACTCAAAACCCCAGATGGAGACACAATTTGTTTGTTGTTATAGTGGCAGGTGTGTAAGTTCTGAACACATCTGGAGGTGGACAGCTGGTCATGTCCAGTTCCATATCTCATTTCGGACATGAGGTTGATGTAATGCAACTAGATTTTAGAAGAAGATCGAACCTGTAGAATTTCACTCGTCTGTCTTACGTGTCATGTTCAGCTCATGGAATAAAGCGGGGCCCTTGACAGATGTCTTCTCCAATAGTATCATGCACTAGAAGTCCCCAATATTTTTAATGAATATATTTTTGACACGGGTCACATTCATTCTTCACGTCAGTGAACACCGCATGCTCTCATGTAAATCCTTCTGCAAGGGTTTGATTTTCCCGAATATATTAAAAGCCAATTCTTCTGTAATAAACAATAAACACTGCAAACCTTTGCCTATTTCCACCAAATCCAAAATTAAGCACACAACGTATAGAGCATTTATTTGTGTATATCTTATCTCTGAGAATTCACTATTGTTCTTTTTGAGGAAACTAGTATATGATCACCACAGTAGAATGAGAACACTTCTCTTTGTCCTTTCAGATGGTTTGGGCAGCTACCTAGATCCCAACCAAATTGACCAACACAGAAATTTCAGCCTTCCCGTACAACGAGATCAGTTTTCAGACATGTACCCTGATAAGAGCATAGGTCGACCACAAGCTAGTGGTGGACACAGGCAGGGAGGTTTTCCTTGTCAGGAGTGTAGCAAAGTGTTC